GTAAGGTGCCTCATAGATCAACTCAAACACGACCTTACCTGACACTTGTATTCAATGATAGTAATTGTAACAGATCAGGAAGTTGCAGTTCAAGTCCCAGTTGAGAAACTGCAGCATAAAATCTACAGTAACATTTCTATTCAATAATGAACATAGTCTGTTAGAGGTGCCATCTTTTGATGATACATTAAACTGCTCTCTCAGACAATTCCCCAACACTACTGAATTCTCCTGGAGTCTTGACGGACTTTTATGCCTCACCCACCATTTAAATTATCATCAGACAATTTACCTCATGGTATTTATTGTAATTTACTGTGCACAAAATAGTGGTTGCATTTCCTATTAGAGTGACTGTCTTTAAGTGCTTTGAGACATTTGAAGTCATAAGAAACACAAGAGAAATGTAAGGCTGCCTTTCAATGTACCCTCTCTCAAACACATGCACAAAGGAAAAATTAGGAGAAGTGGTTTCTGGCAAGTTCTTTCTTGAATGCAATCCAATTAATAAATTTTTTACAAGGCAGTTTTTTGGTGACAACTGGCACCTAACACTGCTCAGTTACACAAGCTAAACACAAAATATTGTACATGTCAATACTCAAGAAAGCATAAAATGTTCATTGGCAACCAGTCACCACCCAACTATTCTGTTTGTTCTCAACACAAAAGCTAAACTGTCTGAACAATACTAACACAAACAAACTGGAAATCTGAAAAAAAAGCAGGCACTAGAAATACACAACAGGCTTGTTAGTATCTAAAAATAATACAGGTCTTGGATGTAGGCCTTTTGGCAGAACCATAAGCTGGTGGGTAAATTAACCTTGGAATAAAACTAAAGACCAAAGGAAAGCTGAAAAGAGGCTAAAAAGAAATGTTGGAAATATTCAGGTCTGAAAATATCTATGAAAAGGAGGTAAAAACAGAGTTAAAGTTTCAGGTTAAGAAACTTCTGCCAGAATGTCAGATGCATGGAGATAGTAAGGGCAATTAAGAGTAAGAGACAGATAAGGAATGTTAGATTAGACAATGCAAAAAAGAGACAAAGGGCTGCATCTTACTTTTTCTGGTAGGTTCCAATTGCATCGGGTATTTTGGGAGGTTTCGTGCCACAAGGTTTAGCAAGATTTCTCGCTGCATATTAACAAACGTACCTCATTAGTTGCCCACTCACCCCATACCATCCCTTTCATCCGAGTCTAGCCCAACATTACCACTTGCTGTTTCCAGAATAACTCGGCACTCAACAGATATCCTCCAGAAAACTGGAATCCCTTGCTTTAAAAAGGCCAATCAGCACACAGAGAAGCATTGGCAATTTGCTGTTACCCCTCGCTGGTAGCATAATGATACAGCAGACAGAACGCTCAGCTGTCACTGAGACACAGTTACTCAGCTTGTCACTGACCATTAGGAGAGCATCAGATACAGACAGGCAATCAGAAAATTTCAAAAGTGAACTGTTATTTACAGCCAGAAAAAGTGAACACAAACACAATGAATACAGGATGTCAATTGCCACCACAATCCAAACCAAATGACAGCATTACAACCAACAATTACAACCCATGACGATCTGCTGCAGCCAACTCTTATCTACACCACCTTGTTCTCTGGTCAACTTCTCTGTCTCTGGCTTGCTGCAGTGTTCCAGAGAAGCTCAACGCAAGCTGGAAGAAGACCTCATGTTCCGCTTGGGGACGCTGCAGCCCTCCAGACTCATTATCGAGTTCAATAATTTTAGGGCCTAAACTCTCCCAAGTTCCAGCACCCTATCCCACACACCAGGCTTTGTTATCACATAGCCTGCCATTATAAACTACCTATTGTTAATCACTAACAGTCCCCATTAACAGCCCCTCACCCTCCTAGCCAGATCGTTACTAACTCCTTTGTCTATCCAACTCAACTGCTCTTTGTCTTCGGACTCTATCCTTTATTGGCATTGCCGGAGAGGGTAGTGGAGTCGGCCTCATTAGGGGCATTTAAGCAGCTATTGGATAGGCATATGGATGATAGTATAAGGTAAGGGTGGAGGTTAGATAGACCTTAGGTTTAGGGTAAAAGTTCAGCACAACATCGTGGGCCAAAGGGCCTGTACTGTGCTGTACTGTTCTATGTTCCAAGTTATCATATCATTTACTCCCTATCCCATCTCCTTCCCTATTTTCTGCATATAAACCGACATTTTCCCAGCTACCATCAGTTCCGAGGAAGGGTCACTGGACCCGAAATGTTAACTCTGATGTTTTCTTCACAGATGCTGCCAGACCTGCTGAGATTTTCCAGCAACTTCTGTTTTTGTTCTCATCTACTGGAACTAGGTATGAAAAAGGTTCTGTTTAAACTTCAATGCCCAATGTAGCTGAAGTCTGTCATGGAGAAGGACAGCTTCCTCTTCCCCAAAATCCTCCTCCTCCTCAGAAGACTGCTTCCATTCTCCCAGTTCCTCAGCATCAGCGCATCGTCTCTGTACCAATGCTTCTGTAACGTTGATCTCAATACAGTTTTCAACATAAAAAGTAATAGTGCTCTTTTGTTTAAATATTTCAAGAGTCTCAATGAATGCAGTACTCTGTACCTGTGAACATAACACAAGTTAACATAATAGCTCGCAAATGATGTCTTTAAATACATGCTGATCTTGCTGGCAGAAAAAAAGTGCTGCTCTGAAATCAGAAGCATACCGACATGTGTGTGTTCCCTTTTTTGTGATGTAAAGCAATTGAAAATATGGAAAGTTTTTTAGAACACAGAACATAGAACAGTACAGCACAGCACAGTACAGGCCCTTCGGCCCATGATGTTGTGCCGACCTATTATCCTACTAAGATCAAACCACCCTGCATACCCTACGTTTTACGATCCTCCATGTGCCTATCCAAGAGTCACTCAAAAGTCTCTAAAGTATTTGACTCCACTACCACTGCTGGCAGCGCATTCCACACGCCCACCACTCTCTGTGTAAAGAACCTACCTCTAACATTCCCCACTATACCTTCCTCCAATCACCTTAAAATTATGCCCCTCGTAATAGTCATTTCCGCGCTGAGAAAAAGTCTCTGGCTATCCATTCTATCTATGCTTCTCATCATGTTGTAAACCTCTATCAAGTCACCTCTCATCCTTCTTCGCTCCAATGAAAAAACCCTAGCAACCCTCAACCTCTCCTCATAAGACCTACCTTCCAGTCCAGGCAGCATCCTAGTAAATCTCCTCTGCACTCTCTTTAAAGCTTCCACATCTTTCCTATAATGATGTGACCAGAACTGAACACAATATTCCAAGTGTGGTCCAACCAGAGTTTTACAGAGCTGCAGAATAACCTCGCGGCTCTTAAACTCAGTTCTCCTGCCAACGAAAGCCAACACACCATACGCCTTCTTTACAACCCTATCAACTTGGGTAGCAACTTTGAGGGATCTATGGATGTGGACCCAAAGATATCTCTGTTCCTCCACACTGCTAAGAATCCCTGCCATTAACCCTATATTCTGCATTCAAATTCGATCTTCCAAAATGAATCACTTCACACTTTTCTGGGTTGAATTCCATCTGCCACTTCTTTGGCCAGCTCTGCATCCTGTCAACGTCCCGTTGCAACCCAACAGCCCTCCATGCTGTCCACAAATCCACCAAACTTCGTGTCATCAGCAAACTTACTAACCTACCCTTCCACTTCCTCATCCAAGTCATTTATAAAGATCACAAAGAGCAGAGGTCCCAGAACAGATCCCTGCAGAACACCACTGGTCACCGAGCTCCAGGCTGAATACTTTCCATCTACTACCACCCTCTGACTTCTATTGGACAGCCAGTTTTGTATCCAGACAGACAAATTTCCCTGAATCCCATGCCTCCTTACTTTCTGAATGAGCCTACCATGTGAAACCTTATCAAATGCCTTGCTAAAATCCATATACACCACATCCACTGCTCTGCCTTCATCAATGTGTTTTGTCACATCCTCAAAGAATTTAATGAGGCCTGTGAGGCATGACCTCACAAAGCCATGCTGACTATTGCTAATCAAACTGTGCTTTTCCAAATAATCATAAATACTATCTTTCAGAATCCTCTCCAATAATTTGCCCACCACAGAAGTAAGACTGACGGTCTGTAATTCCCAGGATTATCCCTATTCCCTTTCTTGAACAAGGAAATGATGTTAGGCAACCTCCAATCATCTGGTACTACTCCAGTGAGGACGCATAGATCATCGCCAAAGGGGCAGCAATCTCTTCCCTCGCTTCCCGTAGCAACCTTGGGTATATCCTGTCTGGCCCAGGGGACTTATCTATCCTCATATTTTTCAAAATTTCTAGCACATTCTCCTTCCTAACATCACATAAGCACAGAACGCCTTGGGGTTTTCCTTCAGCCTATTCGCCAAGGTTTTTTCATACCCCCTTCTAGCTCTCCTAAGTCCATTCTTCAGTTCCTTCCTGGCTACCTTGTAGACCTCTGGAGCCCTGTCCAATCCTTGCTTCCTCAACCTTAAGTAAGCTTCCTTCTTCCTCTTGACTAGGCATTTCACATGTCTTGTCATCCAAGGTTCCTTCACCCTACCATCCTTTCCTTGCCTCAGTGGGACAAACCTATCGAATACTTGTAGCAACTGCTCGCTAAACAACCTCCACATTTCTGTCGTGTATTTCCCGGAGAACATCTGATCCCAATTTATGCTCCACAGTTCTTGCCTAATAGCTTTGTAATTCCCCCTTCCCTAATTAAATACTTTCCCATACCGTCTGCTCTTATCCCTCTCCATGACGAGAGTAAAAGTCAGGGAGTTATGATCACTATCACCGAAATGGTCTCCCACCGAGAGATCTGACACCTGGCCTGGTTTGTTGCCAAGCACCAAATCCAATATGGCCTCCCCTCTAGTCAGTCTGTCGACATATTGAGTCAGGAATCCTTCCTAGACACGCCTGACAAAATCTGCTCCATCCAAACTATTTGCACTTAGGAGGTTCCAGTCTATATTAGGGAAGTTGAAGTCACCCATGACAACAACCCTACTACTTCTGGACCCTTCCAAAATCTGCCTGCCAATCTGTTCCTCAGTGTCTCTGTTGATATTGGGGGTCTCTGGAAAACTCCCAATAAAGTGATTGCTCCTTTCCTGTTCTGACTTCTACCCATACTGACTCAGTGGACATACCCTCCTCCACTACCTCCCTTTCTGCAGCTGTGATACCATCCCTGATTAGCAATGCCACTCCCCCACCTCTTTTGCCTCCCTCCCTATTTCTTTTGAAATATCTATACCTCGGAACATCCAACAACCATTCCTGCCCCTGCATTATCCAAGTCTCTGTAATGAACACAACATCGTAGTTCCAAGTACTGATGCATGTTCTAAGTATGTCACCCTTATTCCTGACACTTCTTGCATTGAAGTAGACACACCTCAACCCGTCGCACTGACTGCCACTTTGTCCTATCAACTGCTTATCCTTCCTCACAGATTCTCTGCTTGCTGTACACTGGCGACTCCATCCTCTGATCTGTAGCTCCAGTTCCCATCTCCCTGCCAAACTAGTTTAAACCCTCCCAAAGAGCTCTAGCAAACCTCCCACCCAGGATATTGGTGCCCCTCCAGTTCAGGTGCAACCCGTCCTTCCTGTACAGGTCCCACCTTCCCCAGAAGGTATTCCAATGATCCACATATCTGAAGCCCTCCCTCCTATACCAGCTCTGTAGCCATGTGTTCAGCTGCACTCGCTCTCTATTTCTGGCCTCACTCACCCATGGCACCGGCAGTAATCCTGAGATTACTACTCTGCTTGTTCTGGCTTTTACCTTATTTCCTAACTCCCTATATTCACTTTTCAGGTCCTCATCCCGTTCCCTAGCTATGTCATTGGTACCGATGTGTATCACGACTTCTGGCTGCTCTCCCTCCCCCTTAAGAATCCTGAAGACTCAATCCGAGACATCCCTGACCCTGGCACTCGGGAGGCAACATACTATCCAGGAGTCTCGCTCGGTACCACAGAATCTCCCCTCTGTTCCCCTAACCATTGAATCTCCTTTTACTATCGCTCTCCTATTCTCCCCCTTCCCTTCTGAGCCACAGAGCCAGGCTCGGTGCCAGAGACCTGGCCACTATGGCTTTCCTCTGGTAGGTCATCATCCCCAACAGTATCCAAAGCGGTATACTTATTATTGAGGGGAACGGCCACAGGGGATCCCTGCACTGTCTGCCTATTCCTTTTCCCACTCCTGAGTCACCCAGCTACCTTTGTCCTGTAACTTGGGTGTAACAACCTCCCTATAACTCCTATCTATCACCCCCTCAGCCTCCCGAATGATCCAGATTTCATCCAGCTCCAGCTCCAGCTCCCTAACGAGGTCTGTGAGGAGCTGGAGTTGGGTGCACTTCTCACAGGTGAAGTCAGAAGGGACACTCGTAGTAACCCTTACCTCCCACATCCTACAAGAGGAGCATGCAACTGCCCTAGCTTCCATTCCCTCTACTCTAGATTGCCAAAAGAATAAAAATAAACCTTACCTTTCCAACCCTCCACACAGTCTTTTTTCTTGGACACTATACCATAATGATGACACTATTACTATTTTTCTTTTACTTTGTCCAATCTTGGTTTGGAACTGAGACTTGAAGTCGAGAATTGAACTTTTAAATTTGGACAGGAACTTGATTTAAGGAGAAGGAGAAAACAAAAGACTGACAGATCTACTCCAAAACCTTAGACAAAAGACTGACGTTTGCTGTTGGGAACTGATCTGAAAAAATAATGCAGGTAAATATCTGCTCTAAGAATACTGCAGACAATTTACACTGAGATGATGTTATGCGCAGGGACTGCCAGTTGGTTGGATTTTGAATTGGTCACTGAAGGGAGGATTGGTATTGGCCAGCCAACCACAGAGAAAGTTGTAAAAGGAAGAAAAAACAAAGTGAACTAGCTCTGACTGGGTTTTAGGCTGGAGGCAGTTTTGCTTTCAAAGTTGCAGGACTGAGTTGATTTTATTTGGTTTTGCTGTTGCTAGTTATTCTCCAGTTATTGATTTGATCAAAGTTCTGAGAAAAGAAGCCCAGTTTGTAAGAAAAAGGTAAGAAGTCTCCAGCTGTCTGCTGAAGCTGCTTCCAAGGAACGTATACAATATGCATGCCTGTAACACAATGCATCATCCAAAGATTTCATGAAGGCCTGGTATTCATCATTGAAACAGCTAAGTAGTTGGCAACCTATGATTCTTCTATTTTCTTTTATACCTTAATTGTGTCTGTGTCTCTGTCTGTTGGTTGGAGAGTAGGGGTTTGTGATTAGGTTTAGATCATAGATATTAGATTGCCTTGTTGTTCATCTGTGTTCTGCTAAAGTTACATGATTAATAATAAATTGTGATTTTTTTTGTTTAAGTTATGAATTTGGTGCCCAAGATCTTTTATATAGAAAGCCTGATTGGGAACAATTAAACAATTGTTAGGAGGATCACTGAGCATTTTAAGGTCACTGTACTGCAAATCCAGCGATAGGGAGGCTGCAAGGTGCAGGGCTGGATGAACACAGCAGGCCAAGCAGCATCGGAGGCTGATTTGGTTTGGCTTGCTATCCCTGTGATATAACATCAATCAATTCAACAGGTTATCTCAACTATCAAAATATATTTCATTGCGCTGCCTTTGATCCCATCTACAAGTAAAGAGATACAAAAAGCTGGAGACTGTGATAGAAGAGTATACTGTAACAAGAAAACTAGAAGGCTGTCACATCAGTTAACAAAAAGCTGTAGCTTCAAGTGCCTTTGATGAGGCAAAATGATGGAAAATACCAGATAATAATTATAAGCCATCATATTCAGAAAAAGTCAAACAGCACATTTATGCAAATAATGTGGCTTGCCAAAACAACGTTAATTATGTTACTGTATCTGTGGACTCAATTGTAAAGGCTGTTCCATACAATTACATTGCCATGAAAATAAAAGCAAAATACTGTGAATGGTGGAAGTCTGAAATGAAAACAGTTCTGGACAAACTCAGTGGCTCCGGCAGCATCTGTATGGAAAAAACAACTCCACTCGATGAAGACAGGTTAAACCACTTACATCTGGCCTCACTTCATCAAGCATCTGATCAGTTCAGAGTTTAAGAAATACATGCGAAAACATGAATATTTTGTTCATTCCAATATGCTCCCTTGCCTACCCCTGCCCAGCTCCGAATGCACACTCACCGTCTCTTCCCTCACTCTGATGCGTGCAGTCTATTCCACCTCCCACAAACACAGCTGGAGCCACTTTATCTGCTCACAACCACCCTGGCCTCCTTATCCCTTGTCTTGTCCTCACTGTTGACCCAGCACCACCAATCACAGGTTTACTCTCTCATGTACTTACTGCTCTTTCAATTATATTCTGTTTCTGGAGGAGTAACAGCAGCTGTACCGGAGGAAGAACTGGAGCAGCAGCATTACAGACAGAATTTGAGATTGGAGCAGGAGATCCTCACAGATTCTGTCTCAAAGAATATGCTCTTCTGCTCCTCTATTTAACTTAACAGATTTTTCCATGCTCTGTGCCTTTATCTCATCAGAATTATTGGGGAAACCATTTTAACACAAGTTCATGCTTACATACAACACGGTTCACTTGACACCCTGTGGTAAATTTAAGGTGCAGCATATCTAGAAGTGGTGTACCTTCAATTCATACCAAGGAAACCATATTTCACAGAATTTCGGAAAAGGGCAATAAATTACAGGAAGTTCACCACCATCATTATGTTTGAGTGATATCAAAGACATTTTGGAAATGGATTTGTTCACTGACCCTGTTTAGTTTGAATGTTGTTTGGAAGCATTCTTGAACTGAAGGTTGAGATTTAAAAGGCTGCAGATTCCAAAGGAAAGGAAAGGATCCAAAATGTAAAGCTCCATCATTTTGAAATTCGACCAATGAATTGATTATTACTGAACACTTCTATTGTGAGATGAGTCCTGAGGGGGTATTAGATTAGAAAGTTGAATGTACAGACAAAAAGCAAAGTTGAAATGAGCACGGACAACAATGGTAGTCAAACTAAAGAAGGCCAAGGACCAGAGATGGGGAAAGCATTGCCAACCAGACAATTAACTTTGGATTATATCTTTGTGCGAGGAGATCGCAGGAAGCACTTCTTGACACAAAGGGTGGTGGAAATCTGGAAGAGTCACTTCCAACAACCTGAGGCTTCATTTCAAACTATGATTAATACATCTGTATTATTCAAGAGTTGTGCCCATTTTAAAACATTAATGGTTATATGAATACTAATTATAAAAGCTACAGCACTTAATATTTGCTTTATTTAACTTCATGTTACAGTATGGTTAGCTCAATATGCCGCTATGCTGTCCAGTTGTCTTTTGTACTTTAATACACCATGTTCTTCATAATACACCTTGAAAACCTTTAATACACCTTGAAAAATCAATGTAAAAGCTTCTTAAAACTTTTCTGAGGATTTAGCTACAATTTCATTGACACTTGCATTATGTGCCAGGAATAACTACTGCAGCTGGGGAAGCCTGTACGCTGCGTGTTAATTTTCCTCATTCATACAAAGGCAACTGCCTGGCCTGCACTTTTACATGCTTGTCAATACTTCAGAAAATTCTGACTATGGCCATTGATCTCTGTAAACAGCGACTCACACTGACGTAAGATGTTTGAATTTCTCTTTGATCACTGTTGCTGGTGTGTTTCCACTGCATCAAATAAGTCTTTACAGTATCTTGCACTCTGAACTTCAACATCAGCAGGAATTTGAATGGAGTATGTTCTAATTATGCTTACTAGCTATGTACCTATGGTCTCTCCAGATGCCTCAACAATTCAAAAGCAACCTGCAAGGAAGAAAACTACACTAGCTACTCACAAGTGTCTGAACTCCTATAAGTCTAATGCAGGAAGGCAGGGGGATGTTCAACTCAGGAATATTTTGCTGCAATCTCAGCAATCGGGGGCTGTAAAAGCTGCCCAGAGTTA